GGTATACAGTAGCGGTCAAAAGTGTTCGCCGAAACGGCTTTCGTGCTTCTATTTTTTTTTGCCTAGAAAAAATCAAGTGGTGGCCTCAAATTTTTTCTTTTGAATATCCTGATTCTTTAAGACTTGAGGATATAAAAACACTAGAAAACATAGTATATCAATCTTTGGAGGGCGTTGCTCAAGCGAGAAAAAATAATGCACTAAAAATCGTTTCGGCGAACACTTTTGACCGCTACTGTATGTAGATTGCATCGCACTTGAGAGCCACTAAGATTCAAAATGAAAGTAGAATGCGTGGCGCATCCCAAAGGTGGTGGGTAACGCCGGAAGCTTCATCCTATATCTCTATTAAGTGGAGAGCATGCTTCGCGCAGAGCGTTAAGGTGGAGTTTTGGTTCGGGTACAAATGACCAGCCCCTGACAATTATTTAGGCCGGACCGCCACGGCTCTGCACAAAGCTACATATCTCATCCACCCTTCCCGCTTCTTGGACCATGGCTTTCAATTAGCCCTGAATCTTACTTTACGAAATATCAACTTCTATATTTTGCTATTTTTTACTTCAATTTTTCCACAGCTTTTTGGTAATTATTCATTTATTTAATAATAGGCAAATTCAGAGATGAAACTGGCTCAATCCTCACAGGGACTTGGAAGGAACTCGTTTTCATGAGTGAGGACACAATGAAAAATGCGCCTCGAAATATAGTTGCAACTTGCCAAAACCAAATATTAAAGTATGTAAATATGTCACAAAACAAAAAATAAATATAAAATATATACAAAAATATATACAATAAAATATATACAATATATATATATACAAAAAATAAAAGAATAAATATGAAAATAATAAATAATATATGCTCTGATAAATTAATTACATACGTTCGACTGCCCGCGTAATTTAATGAATTCGAAAAACTTACAGCTCGCATTCCAGCACCATTTTCAGCAACAGACTTCACATAGACACCCTTGACGCCATTGAGATTACCGTCCACCAATGTGAGGCCAAGTCCACTTGATGGGTCCTAAAAAAGGATTTTTAAGCTAAGAAAATCTATTGTATTCGGTTTATGAACAAACCTTGACGAGAGTGACCACAAATCGCATCCCTGGAAGATCACCATCTGTCGAATCGCCTCTAGACACCATTTCGAATCGTTCTGTCATGGAATCTGAATGGAAACGTCCACGTTTCGTCTTATTTCACTGAAGGGTACCATTGAAAGCGATGAACGACTGTACTCCAACGCGCTAACATTTGGTACCATCCCCTACGCATGTGAGGCCGCTGCCTGACCTCAAACCAACATGTTCTTATGCCTTTCGTTATTTTAGCATGGGTGTTAACCTGTGCAATAAACAATTACAATGTTCTGCCGCTTTCAGGTGTCCTAGCTGTCCTCGTTTACGACTTCTAATACTCGCAAGTTCGCCTCTTCCGCCTTGACTTCTTGCGCTGGTGTCTGGGTCTCTCTTGGCTCCGTTCCTATTCCTCTCCTCATCGTCTCCAAATCTTTCGCCCAAGCGATCAGCTCATTCGAGCTATGCTCATGCATGCCCAAAAAAGTCGTAAAATTAAGGGGTGGGGTCACATCAGTGGTGTCCGTAGCGGTTTCACTTCGGTTTTTTTTATGGTTT